GCTTAAACTTTTTACAGAAAAGTCAATTATATTTTATTTGTAAAGATCTTCAATCTTTAAATGCAACAGAAAGTGAAGAATTTTACAAGCTAGGCCAAGAGATAAATGTTGGTGTTACATATGGATAACAAAATAAAAAAGTTGTGAACTGGAAAACTCTCATGAATACTATAGGTCCAAAAATATACCATGAAATAAAATTTAAGATTAAAAGCACGATCAATAATAATTACTTGTCGATAATCACTGATATTTGGACGGATGAATATAAAAATCTAAGTTTTTTTAACCATTATAGGACATATAAGAATTTTAATTAAAAACATTTGTTTTGGCCGATGAAAAAAAGGTCAAAATTATAAGTGTAGTCAATTCAATTTTAGGAGAATATACAGAAGTATAAAATTACTTAAATAAATGTATAGTTGAGAGTGGAGCAAATCTTATAAGTGCATTCAAAGATGACGAAACGCTAGCATGTATATGCCATATACTAAATAATATTATGCATTATATTTTTGACAATTGTTTAACTGAAATTGCCTTAATTATAAATGGTGTAAAAAAATAGTACAATATTTCGAACAATCTACAGCTAATAGCAAACTAAGCCACACCCTTAAACAAGATGTAATAGCGAGAATAACGAGATGGAACTCTGTATATATCATGATACAGAGTTTCTTAAAATCATATTCTGAAATACAGGTGTACTTGTTTAGCAAGCAATAATTAAATGGATTAGCCAAAATTGATATCAGCATCATACGTGAGTTAGATAAATTTTATTAATATTTATAAGAATTCTCGGATAATCTGAGAGCAGATTCCCGTCCCACAATAAATGAAATTTGTCTATGAAAACAAAAATTAATAAATTCTTGTTAACCTTCTGAACGTGATACAATAATAATTAAAACCTTAAAATACAGAACAAGTTATCTTTTAAAAGATTATTATGCAGCAAGGTAGGCTTAATTCTAGATCCGAATTTCAAAAGACTTAAGTTTTAAAAAAAAGAAGAAAACGATATATATAAAACAATCTTAAAAATGCTAACTGATATAAAATTAGATGATATGCATAAGTCAATGCCAACTATCATTTATAACTTTCCTAACTTATCCTAAATTCATAAAAAACCGTATATTCTAAATGATCAATACCAACTATCACTTTCCTAATTCACCCTACACTCATAAAAGACCGTATATTCTAAATAAAAAATTTAGAGAATTTCTAGATGATTCTGATAAAGCATCAACATCACCGATGGAAGCTATGAGGATGAACTTAAAAGATTCATATAAGATAAATAACAAGACAATATTTTGAAGTTTTGGAAGCAGGAATATTCATTTCCTTTTTTGAGAAAATTAGAGAGTAATTTTTTCAGCCCCGACAAGTTCGGCTTCTAGTGAAAGGTTATTTTCTGTAGCCACTCTCTTATTAGAGAAAAGGCGTAACAATTGAAATAAAAAAAAATGGACATTCTTCTTTTTCTAAATAAATTTCGATTTATAGATTATATTTATTTTTTGTTATTAATATGGATTATGAAATTAGAGAAATAAATAGAATGAATTCAAAAAAGTGTAAAATTATAGCAATAGATTTGAAAAATTTAAAAACACCGTGAATTTTCGGGCGTGACGGGCGTGAATCAAAATATTGCTTGTCGTGAGCGGGCGGATCGGGTCAAAAATTGTTTAGTGATAAGCGTGAATGGGCGTGATATTTTTTTATTGCCACCGCGAGAATTAGGCCCGCGCCCACTTCTAAGTTGTATATCGTTAATACCGGCAGGATTATGACTATTTTGAAATTTTAGTTTCGATGATAGATTTGTTGGAAATTTCTGTTGGGAATGTATAACAGTCTGGGGTGGGTAGATTTGATCGTTCGATTGCTGCTGTTAGAATATTATTGGGAGTTATGAATGATGAGATCGCAGAATTGAGGGATAGGCGATTTGAGATAAATAGAGGGAAAGTAGTTCTAAGGGATCAAGTCGATACCACCTAGTTTAGCGGGTAATTGGAGTGACAATTAAAGTCTGATAATGAAAGGTTGAGTATCCTTTATAAAAAGGTTTTTAAGCGAATATTGTGTTGAATGAAAAATTTTGAGGCGATGAATGAAGAGGATGAGTGGAAGAGATGTGAGAATTTAGGTAAATAGAAACACTTTTTAATAAGTAAAAAGCTGGTGCGATGGAATGTGGTTGATGAACTTTTCCAAGTTTTGCATCTCAGAAAAAGTTTTATCGATAATTTTTTCGGATAAATTATTATTAAGTAATGGGGAGCCCAAGAGTTGGATATCTTCTTTTTCGATAATAGTGCAATCTTTAAATAAATCAAAGGGAATCTCGGGGTTGAGGGAGCATATTTCTATTGCCTCGATGTGTCCCATATAAATTTAATTTCTTAGTTGTAAACACTGCATATACCGAAAATAATGGCCAAATTTTCCAAAAACTAATAAAATTATATCATAAAATAAATTGATTTTAAACCGGCTTCTGCTAAAAAATTAATAATAATTATAAACAGGGTTGCCATGTCAAAATTTCCAATTGCGGGAGAAATTCGGTAGTTTGCGGGTAAAATATAAAAATTGTGGTAGAAATAAAGAAATTGCTAAAAATAAATTCTTCGGCCGGGATTGTGAATTAGCTTAGTTATCCCCCTATTAATTCTTATAATCACTTTATATAAATATTAACAAAGTGGGTAACGTTTAAAAATTTCAAAATAGGTAACACACATGAAAATGATAAAATATGAATGAATGATGTTGATTTATTTGAATAAAAATAAAACATATGATTAAGGTAAGGATAGAAATTTACAAACTAGATATGGATAGAAAGGGAAGAAATTTACAAACTAGACATGTTTTTTGAATAAATATTTAAAATTTATTTTAAAAATATAAAAATAATCAATTATTTTTTTTCAAATTAATATTTATATTAAAAAACGTTTAAATAATTTTTAAAAAAAATTGCGCCGAAATTGCGGTAGTTTTGCTGGAGTGAGATGTTAGTGTGTAAAAAAATTGCGAGTCTACCACTGATGGGGGGACCTGGCAACCCTGATTATTGTTGTATCTGTTGATATATAATTGACATTTATGGACATTTTTTCAATTGATTTCGCATAAAAGATAGATTACAATTTTATTCTTTGTTATTGATCATATGATTTTTTTATAATGATTTTGGAAATAAATTTGGAAAATTATCATTATATTTAGAAAAATATTAGCAATATTGTCAAAGATGGATTGATAATCAAGAATGGGTCATAAATAGTTCAAGTTTTTAAATAGAAAAATAATGTGTAATGGTAAATTGATAAAAATATTTTTGATTTTATATATATAAATGTGGATTTATATATATGTAAAGGATAATAATGGAGGGCGCCATTAGATAATATTAGAATATTTTTATGTTTAAAATTTTAATTAAAGGTTTATATATACATGCACATGCGTAATATTGTATATATATATATAATATTTTTGATTTTATGAATATAAATGTGAATTTATAATAATGGAGAGCCATTAAATAATATTAGAATATTTTTATGTTCAAAATTGGAAATTTGCTATTTTAGATCCAAGAAAAGGGGGATAGTAGTAGTTCATCATATAATAAAAGGTCTCTTGTGATCAGAAATTTTGTGTTCAATTTTTGAAATTTAGGATTATTATTGATAGGGAAGAAGTGTATCTGGTATAATGTTAAAAGAAATGAATAATGATTACATTTTGGATGTAATTTAAAAAAAAAACATTTGACTGACTTATTTTTTGTAATATTCCGTCCAATCAACTGCAATGATTCTGACCAATAAACTACAATGATGCTGGATAAATGACATCAAGCTTAAAATAGAATGATCAAGACTGGCCAATGATGCAATTGATCAATCAACAATGACAGCACAATCACAACTATTACATATTGTTAAGAAAAAATGGGTAGTATGCTCAATGAAAATTATGTCTGGTCAAGAAAAAATATGCAACTTCCTTGAACAGAAGAAAGAAAATTTAATGAAAATAAATAATAATAATTTTTTTGATCATTTATTAGAATAGGATGTAGACATTTACTTATATATATGTGTAAATTGTATTTTTTTACCCCAGTTTGATTTCTCAAGAAAGGGGGCGTGTTGTATCTGTTGATATATAATTGACATTTATGGACATTTTTTCAATTGATTTTGCATAAAAGATAGATAACAATTTTTATTCTTTATTCTTTGTTATTGATCATATGATTTTTTTTATATTGATTTTGGAAATAAAAGAATTTGGGATATTATCATTATATTTAGAATGGTATTAGCAATATAGAATCATATATTTATTTTTAGGTTTATGATGCTTATTTTATGTTGCGATTATACATATTTGTAATAATTATGAATTAAGCTGGTAGATTTTTAAAAAATTAATTATTTATATAAATTTATTTTTAAGTTTTAGAATAAGTCAATAATTGATCATTAAGAAAAAAAAGCCAAAATTCAAATTTTTGCTATGGTTATTATCTTAAGATATCTGAAAATGAGACCACGTTCAGGCTTATTGGAAAACGCAAGGAAAAAAATTTCCTTATAGATATCGGAAAGATTTTCTGAGACCGATTGCGCGTATTAAGAGAGTAAAATTCACAGGCTAAATTTAATGAGACCTCATGGAAATATTTATTATAAAATAATCAATAGTTATTCTTATCAAATGGAAATACATAAAGCGCTCTAGTTTTAAAAAGATAATTACTAAATACAGGCGGTTTAACAGTTTTATTCACTATCTAATTTTATATTAAAATATAATGTTCCTTTTATAAAGGAGAAAATCTTTGGCTTTTTGAAGAATAAATTATGCCATTAATTATATGTTTAATTATTTACGAGAGGAACAAAATATTTTATTTCAATGAAATTTTATAAACTAATCAAAAATATGTCCTCATGATCTTTAGGTATAATTTTTAATAATCCATACCATACTATATACATGTGGTTACAATATTTAGATATGATGTATAAATTACCATTTATTTATTAAAAAAATCATATTAAATTTATTGTCATTGGGATAAATATTATAATATTATTCAAGAATCTTCTTTTTGAATAATTTCTGGGTGATTAATGAAGGCTCAAAGCTGGGAATATCAGGCAAAAGATCTAATATATAACATCATTCAAAAATATAGATTAAAAGAACAAGATTTACCTTCCAAAATAGAATCATCCAATAAATTTTGATAAGCAATTTCATTTTCATCTGCCTTAAATTTAGTAATATTTTCAGCTTTAGAAACAATAGTGGGAATTTTGGGATATAAATTAGTTGGAATTTCATTTTTGTCACTATCTTGTTCACTTTCTTTTATCAATTCATTCAATTCTTGCTCTAGCTCGGCCATCAAGAAATTATCATATGCTGTGTTATCTAGAGAAGGATACAATTTGAAGTCCACATCAATTTGAGTAGATAGAGCCTTATCTATTTCATTTTGGATATCCACAACCTTTGAAATACAAATTTTTATAATAAAAAGACCATTATTATTTTCCCAAATATAAGTGATTTATAAGAGTGAAATTAAAAGTTTGTTTTAAAAAACTTCTTGTATTTCATCCATCGTAGCATTAAGCTTACTGGTGTCAATGTTAGATTTAGCAACCACACTTTTATAAGCATAAATTCCAGATTTGTATGCATCGTAAACCTGTAATAATTATATTTAAGCCCAAATTTAGGTTTAGAACTAAATTTGCTTTACCATTTTATTGGACTGGACTTGTACAATTTGATCTAAAAGTTCCCTAATATTGTCAAGGGCTGCTTCTTTCTTTTTTAATTGATTTTCAAACAAAATTTTACGTTTTAAATAGGATTTTGCCTTAAAAATATTAGAATAAATTTTTTAAATTTTTTTGAACTTTATTTCTTTCATTTATGGTCAAATGTTGTTTGGCATTTATGATACACCTGTAAAAAGATTCTATAAAAGTAATAATGATATCATCAAAATATACTTATCAATAGCTATTGTTAATTTATCTATATCATTTTCTAATATTTTATCCACCCTTTTCAACCTATATATATATATAATATAATAAAAAGATCAAAATGTATGTTTTAAATCATATTCAAAAACAAAACTAAAATAAAAATAGATAAACCAAAAACAAAACATATTTTAAATTCAAGACATATTTTTTTAACAATTTGTTTAAATTAAATGGGTCATTTAAAATGTTTTTAAAAATAAAAACGATTTTAACAGCTATAATCAGAGGGTTCAAGCTAATTTTCTTTTAATATAAAAACAAAATAAAATAGTTAATAACGATTATTATTTAAAAAATATTGATAAGTAAAAATTTTGAATTTTATATAAAATAAAAATTATAAAGATATTAATAGGTTCAGGACCAGGGTTGCCAGGTCAAAATTTTCAAATTGTGGAAAAAATTTGGTATTTTGTGGGTGAAATATAAAAATTGTGGTAAAAATCAGGGTGAACCCGAACCCTCGTATTTTGGCTAAACCCGGACCCTTTTTAAAGTGGAGGGTCCAAGGGTTTTAGGTGTCATAAAAATTTTTAAAAATAAAAATATTTTTTTAAATTTTATTAACTTTTTTGTGGAATCATTTATTTTATCTTCACGTTTTTCTTTCAATTTTCTTCCCGGACTTCCATTTTATTTAGAGATTGATATCATAAATTATTTTAAAGTGTAATAATATTTTCTTATGTAAATTTATTAATATGCTATGTTATAGAAATACGTTGATTATTTTGAAAGTGAATTATTTTGCAGTACAAGAAATAATATTTTAATTTAAATGATAATGCACAACACATTGGTCCTCAATTTGTATGATGCTAGAACGATTATTAAGTTTGAAAGATTTCTGTAATGATTCTATTATAGGAGAATGTGAAGTCATTTTGTCGGAAGATGATTGGCACCAAATAGAGGAGGTTACTAGTGTATTAGTTCTTTTAAATATAACATTATAAATTACAATCAGAACAATTATGTTTATTAGATGCCGATTAGATTTAGAAAAATTACAGTCCTTTTTATACGAAATATTAGAAAGCATAAAAATTCGAGAGCAACAATATTTGCAAAATAGTGTTGTATACGCTTCTATATATTTAGACACTCGATATCAAATTTTATTGAGTATTGAGCAAAAACAAATAGCTAAAGACCATCTTAAGGATTTATAGCATACCCAAAACCCCATTATTTGCAATATATTGGAGGCTACAACAATACCTACTAGTTGTAGTGATAATAATGATAATGATAGCAACATTGATGATCTTGAAATTTTACTTTTAGATAGAGAAAAAAAAATCAAATTATCATCAGATAGAAAGGAGGATCAAAAAATTCCTATTGCATCTTTAATAGTAAAGTTCTCAGAAGTTAAGAGAATAAATAAGGATATAAATATTTTAAAATTCTGGGAAGAAAATTCTTCAATATATCCAGAATTATATATCTTATCTAGAATCTTCATGGCTGTACTGGCCACACAAGTACAATAATTTTATAAAGATAACTATCTATTTTAGGTAAGGGTAGAAGGTGATTTTTTATCTTTGAAATATATATTGTCTACTTAATGTGGAAATCTCAAGGATGATATTTTAGAAGATATTATGATTGTGCGAGAATAAAACATTTAAAATATAAATTATTTCATTTGAAAATTATGAATATGTATATATTGAAGTATAATAATAATGAATAAAAAATAATCTTATTTTGAGTCATTATTTTTATGTTCCCTGAACCCAGACCCAAACCCAGGTCCTTTCAAATTTATTCCTGTAACCGAACCCAGACCTGGACCCTTTTTTTTGTCAAAGGATTCACATCCCTGGTAGAAATATAAACAATTGTGAATTTTAGTTATCTCCCTTTTAATTCTTATAATTACTTTATATAAATATTAAAGTCGATAACATTTTATAATTTCAAAATAGGTAACAAACATTAAAATGATAAAATATGAATGAATGATGTTGATTTATAATTGGATAAAAATAAAACATATGATTAAGGTAAGGATAGAAAAGAAAGATATTTACAAACTAGACATGTGTTTTGTTTAAAATTTATTTTAAAAATATAAAAATAATCAATTACTGTTTCTCAAAATTAATTATATATTAAAAAATGTTAAAAAATAAATTGTGCATGAGAAATTTAAAAATTGCAGTAGATAGTGAGATGTCTGTGTGTAACTGTAAACCAAAAAATTGTGGGAGTCTCCAGCTGATGGGGGGAGAACTGGCAACCCTGTTCAGGACAGATTTTAATAATAATTTTTAAAAAGCAATATTTTAATTTCTTTTTAAATAATTTGATATTACATAAAAAAGAATAACCTTACAATATTTACATCAAGTTCAGGAGATATAATAGGCTTCTCATATTCTTTATAATATTGAGTAAATTTTACTAATATATTCTAAATATTGATCTTATTAATGATACAAAATAAAATTTTAACTTCATTAAAACTATCAGCTGTAGATTCTATTGATATTAATCCTTTATGACTTAAAAATTTTAATGCTATTAATAATGATTCTATATCCACAATTGATTCTCCACAAGCTTCTTTTACTTGTTTTAAAGTATAAAAGGAATGACTATCTATTTGTTGATTTACTAATTTATGTTTACAAGTATCATATATTTCATTAGCAAATCTCTTGGAGAAAATCATTAATAAATATTTTATATAAATTATGATTACTTCTAAATTATCTTTGTATATATATTGATCCTTTATTATTTGACTTTTATCAAATGAATCATTTATAAAGGGTATTTTGATATATGAATTAATATAGGATAAAGGATATTTAATCATTTGTGTGCTCCAATCAAACCAAGAATTGTAATTAGAGGTCTCAGAGTTTATTTCATTTAAGGGAATAATTATTTCTTTTCTAATATAGTCTAACAAATAAATATAAATTAAAAATTACTTAATTAATTCGAGATAAATTTCATTAATTCCATAAGGAAGACGGCCCTTATAACACAATTTTTCACTTAATTTATTAAAATTTATAAATATATCATTAGATTTAGAATAAATATCTTTAATTTTAGTAATCCAATATGTCATTTTATAATCCCAATCTTTAGAATTAGTAGTCTGAGATCTGAAAGGAGAATAAAAATAGTCATTTGTGGTGTCTGTCATAATTTATAATATTAATGTTTTTGTTTCCAATAATTTTTTAAAATTATTATGTCATTACATAGAATCATATGTTTTATAATACTCGAAAATCCAATGATATCATTGCGAAAATCACTTATGAAAGGTGATTTTTAGATTGTAGAGAAAAGATGCGGTTCATCCGGTGTACGAATTTTGGAAAAATAAGTGATAGTACTGTATTTATATGGGATGAATCATTAATAAAAATAATACTATATCATTCTGACCAGGCAAATTTTTTTATTTAACCCTTTCGCGCCCATGGATAACTTTTAGAATCATAATTTTTCAATAGTAATTTATATGTGGCCACTGATAACTTTTGAAATCATATTTTTAATTTTTATTATTTGCTCTTTCGTATTTTATCACTAACTCTTTTGTTTCATATGTTTATATCATATTATAGTTTTAGAGTACCAAGCGTTGCTCTGTTATTTGATATATATATGACATCTTAGGGCTAGTGTGCTTAATATCACGTATCACGTAAAAAATCAATTTTTTCTTACCATTTTCGCGCCAAAATGTTAATTCATTTTTTCGGTTATCAAAACTTGCTAAAAATATAAGTAATAATTTTATTATTAATATATATATATATTAATATTTTTATATAAAAATTATCATCTTTTTAAACATTTTAGGTGCTGGAATTTGAGCATAATGCTATTTGGCATCAAGGGTCATTTCTTATGCACTAAAATATTTTTTTATCAATAAATGGGAATTTTAGTCAAATTATTTAGGATATTTAGATTTTAAGTTAAAACGGAAGTGGGGAAGGGGGGGGGGTAATCAGATTATATTTTGATAATAGTTAACTGTATTGATTATTTAATGTCTAATAGTTTTCTTGGATATAGGGAGAGGTCCTAATAAATATTTTATATTTATAACATGTAATAATGATACTTTTTAATCACTATGCATTTAGATATGACTACACTTACCCCCGAGGGTGATATTTCTGAAGCTGATATAGAGAGCTCAGATGAAGAATACAATTATTATCCTTTGCTAGGAGATGATTTGCCAACCTCATCTTATATTACAAATGAAATAGGTCTTGAATTGGAGGATATAATCGAAGATACTACCAGGGATGCGAACCCGACAAAATTTTTGCCCCGGTTCGGTTCGGGGTATAAAAAAAAAGGTGGGTTCGGTTCGGGTTCGGTTCAGGGAAATATTTTTGAACCCGGGTTTGGTTCGGGTTCGGTTCGGGTTTAAGAATTTTTGAGTTGATAAAACAAATTCTATATTTAAATCATAATAAAAAACTAGACATAAATTTGATATAAAAAATAAATTTTTTATATTATTTATAGGCAAATATAGTTAAAAATACAAAGCATATAGTCATGTATCAATTTTAAAAATTTTATTTAGACGTATTAGCATAATATCTTCCAAGAGTTGTTCACTCATCCTCGATCTATGTGGTGAAAGAATGAATTTCAAGTGTGAAAAAGATCTTTCAACGCTAACCTATGTTAAATGTATTTATATGTGAAAATATGATAAATTTACTTGGGTTGCAGGAACAGCAAATAAGATTTTAGATAAAATATATAATTCAGGGTGTTCCAGCTTAGCAGACTCCCAAAAATGCAAAATATTTTCCTTCTTATCTAATCTTTTATAATCGCTAAATCCAGTAATTATTGTTCCAATACTTTTCTCAGCAATCGTTGGCCCTCTTTTAAGTATTTTCTCCTGCCTTTCTTTAAGTTGTATCAATTTCTCTAAATCATCTTCTTCTTCAATAACTTCATCGGAACTAATATCATCAGATAAAATCGGCGTTGTTAAGCTTTTAATTCGTCTCCATAAATTGACAAGATGCCTTTTCGCACAAATCTTATCATCATCACTAAGTAATACCTGTAATATTTAAGGATTTATATTGTTTATATTTAAATATTCCATAAAATAACAATTTTAATATAAATCTAAAATAATTAATTTACTAAGCTTTTAATTAACCTTGTATCCTGGGTCCAGGTATATGGCAGCTAAGAGAATTTCGTTCTTTATAAACCTTTCTTCTCTGTTCTTAAGACAAGAATATAGTAATTGAGCAAAATGGTTTGGATTTTTTTCCAGTTCGATGCAGCATCTTAACCATGCTGCATAAAAATCTGTCAGTGTTAACGTTCAGATTGGAATTGTTTGGTTGCGATTTTTAGCGGTTTTAAAATTTCAACAATCGTTATTATCTCTTTCCAATCTTCAGTCAATAAATAATCAGATTGCTCTGAAAAAAAATCTTCGATATTGGGTTTTAGTAAAATCAGCCTTTCTAACATATCATGGGTTGAATGCCATCTGTGGCAATCTAACTCAGGCTTAGGGAGTTTCATATTTTTTTAATAACTTTTGGTAAGTGGGATGTCTTAATTTTAAATTTAGGCTCCTAGCTTTTGCAATGGTTTCCACAATAGGTGATAATTTTATAGCATCTTGAAGTGCCAGCTGAAGTGTGTGAGCTGCACACCGTACACTATAAATCGGATAGGATATAATAGTTGATAAAAAAGTATTTTGTATATCATCAATATCATATTTATATACATTTACATCCATATTTTCCTCATCTGCTGATTCACTCCTTATATAATAATCAGTTTCAGGTTGCAGGAGCTTTATAGCTCTTAAAAAATTACAACCATTATCAGAAGTAATTGTGTATATTTGTTCAATATTAATTTTAAATTTTAGTAAAGTTTTTAATATATTCTCTTTTATATATTCTCCTGTACATCTCTCTTTCAGCTCTACAAATCCAAAAGTCCTCAAATTTTTATTGGACTTTGATATAAATTAAATATTTACACCAAGAATTGACCTATCTAGTCGTTGAACTGCATCAACTTTTAAACTTATTAATTTTCCTTCTACCTCTCTCGATATTTTGTCTCTAATTGATTGGGCTGTTTTATTAATAGTTCTGGATAAATTTTCTTAGTTTATAACTAAATTGAGCCCAGATAGGAGTGGATTTATAATTCTTTGAAATCCCGAATCTTCAACAATTGATAAAGGCCGGCCATTTACAGTAACAAGTTCTAGTATAGAACTCATCAAATTAATAGATGATATATTTATACTTATATGCTTTTTTGGAAAAAAGGTTTCTATATTAATTTTAGGTTTTTTTGCCAATAACAATTCCTGATATTTGGTTTTTTCATTTAAATAATTTAAATATTCATTGTTGTGATTTCTTTCCAGGTGTCTTTCTAAATTTGATAAGTGATTACCAGACGTTTTTACTTTGCAATATGAACATATTGATTTTTTTTCTATTGTATTAAGGGTAAATTGCTTATCAAATATGACTTTATCTTTAATCTTAAATCTATAAAAAGAGAACAATTTTTTTAAATAGCAATGATTTCAGAATTAAAAAAGAGATATTTATAAATTTAATTTCATTTATAATATGCACTTCATTAATATCTTGTAAAAATTAATCTGAACCAAAAATAAATGATTAGCATATATAAATTTTAAAATCATTTTAATAAGTTCACAAAAACTGCCCTACATTTAACAATTTTTAAGTTAGATGTTTAGAATTTTTTAAATTAACAATATAATAATTTTTACTTTGATTTGTAAACCATTTTCTTCTAATTAATAATCTTTAAGAATAATAAGATAAAAATTTAAAAATAAATGGCGTAAATTAATTCAATTGTTTAAAATTTTTTAACACTCCAATAGGAATCGAGAATAAATTTAAAAATGGCATAAATGAATTAAGTTGTTTAAAATTTATTAACACTTCATTTAATTGGAAATTTGAAAAAATAATATTTGTATTTACATAAATTAATATATGATTTTAAATAATACACTGAACCCGGTTGAACCCGGGTTCAAATAAAATTCTTGGGTTCGGTTCGGGGTTTTGAAAATTTTATAAATGGGGTTCAGGTTCGGTTCGGGTTCAGAGTTTTTTTCTAAAAACCCAGGTTCACTTCTCCGGGTTCGGGTTCGGTTCGAATCCCTGGATACTACTATAACTAAAATAAAAGATAACCCTCTTTGGTCTAAGAAAGACATTGGAAACATGAATACAGAATTTACTCCTATGGTGGAAATTGTAAATTTTTGGACAACCAAATGATTAGCAATTTTGTATCAGAAACAAATATTTATTCCTTCCAATGTTGTGGAAAATCTATAAATACTGATAGCAATGAAATTGAAAATTTTTTTGGAATACATTTGTATACTAGCTTAGTTAAGATGCCTTCTATATGGCAGTATTGGTCGGTTGAGACATCTATTCCACAAGTATCAGAAACTATGTCCCGCAATCGTTTTCTTTTGATCCGAAAATTTTTCCATATTAATAATAACAAAAATATGGTAAATAGAGAAGATAAAGGTTACGACAAATTATTCAAAATTCAACCTTTCATATGCCAGATAAAAAAAATTTCAAAAAAATTCAACTCGAAGAGAAGTTAGCTGTAGGCGAATTCATAATTCCTTTCAAGGGGCGCCCTAAATTAAGGCAATACATTAAATCGAAGCCCCATAAATGGGGGAAAAAAGTGTTTGCCCTATGTGGCTCTTCTGGATTTATGTATGATTTTGAAATATACCAGAGAAAGTCTACTAATATTATAAAATCATATTTAGGTATTAGTGGAGATATCGTACTTCGCCTGTCTGAAATAATACCATCGAATAGAAACCATAAATTATATATGGATAATTTTTTTTCCTCATACAAATTATTTATGATTTTTTAAAAAAGGGATATTTGGTGTCCGGAACGGTAAGGTCTAATCGATTATCAGGATGCACACTTAAAAACGATAAGGCTTTAAAAAAGGAAGAAAGAGGCGCTGTAGATTTTAAAAGTGAAAAAAACGGTATTATTTTCTGCAAATGGCATGACAACAAAGCTGTTATTACAATATCTAATTTTATAGGTGTTTTACCTACGACCAAAATTAAACGATGGTCTGTATCGGACAAAACCTTTATAAATGTA